TTTTTTTTTTTTTTTTTTTTTTTTTTTTTTTTTTTGGTTGTATTTAACAATATACGTGTACTGATTATATTGTGGGACAAAATGCAACCTGCCATGTATTGAAGTCACATGTATGTACACACACACTTGCAGTGCTTGCTTAACAACAAATTAAGTCAGGTCTTCAACAAATTTGAGTCGACTAATTAACTTTTTCAACTTGGTTCAGTTCGTGCAAAGAACAATCACGAAACAAGATTTAAAACCCAATATTAAAGAATGAAAAATTGCCATAAAATCAAGTATCAATAGACAACTGAAACTTGAGAACTTCAAGGAAAAAAAAAAAGTATATACTCTATGTAAGTCAAGAAAATAAAACCAAATGTAGATAGTTTAGAAAAAAGGTTCAAGAGATCATTCATTACCTGGAGAAAATGGTTCCACAATCACATCTATATTCTCTTGTTCCACACGTTTTAGAATGAGCTCTCCAATCTGATTGAACTGCATAAATCTTTGAACATTTCTCACATTTCCATTTCTTCTCCCCATGTTTTCTGCAGTAATGTTTCTTTATTCCTGTAAGATCCCCAAGAGCCCTAGACGGATGGTGATGAACACATGTTGGCTCAGGGCATACATATGCTCTTTTTCTGTTATCTGTGCTGCTTCTTTGCTTCAATTTCCATGGAAGATTGTGCCCTCTTCTGTGGAGTTGAAGGTTTTGATCTCTCTGAAAGCCCTTGTTGCAGATCTCACAAACAAATCTGTTGGTAGCCAAAAGGGTATTTGGAGATAGTGCTATCACTTCAGCATCAGGATCTACACCACCATGTTTTACATAAAAACAAGGTAATTAAGCCCTAATTCCTTCTTACAAGAAGCATAAGAAATAAAATGAAAATCGAAAACAAACATGGCACTCACATAGACGTCCACTTTCCTTCTATATAGGAGAAGAAATGTACAAGTTTCTAAGTATTAAAAATGATAATTAATTGATAAAGTAATCCAAGTAAACTTACCAGGATTTCCAGGGAGGCTTCTCTTCTTCTTGATTTTCTGTGGCTGATTTGGAATAATACTGTGGGTTTTTTGCAGCACTGATTTTAAGCTACCATAGTCATGAACCCTAGGACCTGAAGAAATACTAGCTTCCTCAGACTTAGAATTAGTAGAGTTGGACATGACAGAAGGAAACATGTCTGCTGAGAATTCAATAATCCAACTTTAAATTCTTGAATTATAATTACTACAAAAACTCAGCCCAGAAATAGCTAATTCCTGCCTTAGAATATATAACTAAAGTTGTAAGTTTGAAAATTTCCAAAACGCCGGCGTTTTCATTCTGAACAGCAGTCGTGTCATGTTTCTCATTTCCGACTCGTGAATAGATTATGATGATGAT